AAAAAAACTGTCCCGTTTAATTAGTTCCCGAAATCAAACTAGATGTCTCTACGGTACATTATTGATTTCTCCATGACAACTCTTCCAGCTTTCTTTCATGTTTAAAAGTAAAGTAGTTTTCAAAACGCAATAAATAACTTATATTCTATTTGTAATTTTTCGTATTTGTACTCACATCCCAGATAGCAATTTAAACTTGTTTCTGACTTGCAACAAGTTTGATATATCAAAAAAGAAAACATGCAAGTAAACTTTCTAGTTTCAGCATGAGCAAATCCTTCTTTCAGATTTTGAATGAATTCAAAATACGCAATCTTCAATTTGTTTTTAAGCTGAGATACATGAAATACAATACATGTCATCTAAATATTTAGGTGATGGTCATAAAAGGAAAACTTCTTATTCGATTTCTATAATAATAATATTTTTTGATTTGCTTTAAACATGGTATAAAGGTGTTAAAGTTGTACAATATCCTCATGTCCTCATTTTTAAATAGCATGCAAAAACAGTACAATGGAATCTAATACAGCGAGAATAAAAAATAACCTAAATTATAATCACAATAATAATAGTTAAATTATTAAATTCTTACTATGTTGAAATGCATTGGTATTACAGGTCATAGATAAAAAACATATATCCTCCTACTTTTGGATTTTGAAGTCGATTAGGAAAATCGAGTAAAAGCGACCGTACCATTTATTTGACATTAGCACGCAATTCGGGACGTTAATCTGAATCTTTTCGCTTGTTTATTGCCTGTCAAGGGGGCTTACACGTTGGAGCCATCAGTTGGCGAGTGCCTACATGATAAATGGCGAACCGACAGTCTCGAGAGTTTTGTCTCAGAAGATAGAGAGCACTAAATGAGACAGATCTCTTTGAAAAATGGTCGGTCTCTTTGTACATTATTATAAATTAAGAGTAAATAAAACGTGTGACAATTGAATATAGATAAAATTATAGTTATAAATTTTTAATTATAGCTATAGATTTTGGAACATCTAGTGACATTTTACATTCAGTTGTTCGTTACATGTAATAGGGGTGACGCCTAATTTTTGTTTTGCTGTCCTTCAAGTTCATTGAAGAATATTAAAGACGTATATTTTTATTTTTTGCATAATCAATTAATTAGATTGAGTTGAGCACAAACGTCCATTAAAGGTTTAATGACGCCTTTAAACTCAATGAATGTCAAATTTGTATGGGTAATGTCACTTAGAACTAATGAAAATTTTAATGGACGTTTGTGCAACTAGATGTATGACATATAAATTACACTAGCTGTTTTCCTGCGGCTTGGCCCGCGTAAATTATAGCCATCCCGTAGATGTTTTTTTTATAGTAACTTATTCAATTTACATTCAAATATTTGTTCTTTATAAGATAAGTATAGTATTATTATGTTATGTATAAGAGCATAGTATCTCTTATGTATCGAGTAAGAACTTGTATTTACTCGTATCGATTCATCCCTAGACGAGCTGACGTAAAAAACGCGCTTGGCGCATTTTATTAGTATTTTATTGTCTTTTGTTGAAATAAAACATTGTGCTTATGAAAAGTATGACATGTTAAATAATTTTTAATATTTTAGTTATATGAATAAAATATTTTTATTCTTTAGTCGAAATAGGAGAATTAATTACAATCATACGAAATCGTAAAGACTATTTCACAACTTTAAAAAACAAAAAGAAATGAATTATCTATCTATAACACTCTATATCATTCAAAACATCATTCGTTCCGAAAGCAATCGTGACTTCAAAAGTTACACAAATCCATAGATCACTATTACAACCGCTATACGTTTGAAAATGATTGTGATAGATTGAAAAATTAGACAATTAGGCCACTGGTTTTGTGTTTATCATAATTTTTAAATATTAATATAATTAACTGTCTTAGTTTTAACAATATAAAAAAAAAATAGGATTTAGGATAAGAATGTCCCAAATTTGTATCGATGTATAAAAGATACAATAAATTTAGTAATAATCTTTAATACAAACAATAAATTCCTTGTATAAAATTACGTCAAATGAATAATTTGTAGAAAAACAACTTAAGCGACACTCTACCGTTCTTTAAAAGGTGAACGTCCACTGTCTCCATACCACGAAGGCACGACACACGACGAATGTTCCTATGTATGAATTTATATACTCTATGTATGAATTTATATAACCTCCATCCTCTTTCTGTACTGATCACACCGACCGTATGCATTATAATTATGCAAAGAGATGCGATGCGTTCAGATTATCATATACGGAATACTTCCGTAGACGTATAGCCTCAGTAAATCCGTACAATCCATTGGGTACCGTGCGTATACGTAAGCATTGGTTACGTGTGGACATATTGGATGTTTACCTTTAGTGTAAGTCTAATAATTAATACTCAAAGCAACTATTTCAATAATAAAAGATGTTGAAAAATTATAATTTTGAAGGTTTAAAGGTCAGTTCTTTTGGTTTAACTTTATTTTGAAACTTTCTAGGAGAAAGAAATGAATATTTTATCAGATAGAAAAAAACACAATATAATTTTTATTTCTTGTTAAAATTTAGGTACGTTGTACGGAAAATTGATAAAGATGTGACGAATTTTTTATCTAGGGAAATATCACTTTTACGATAATAATGATAATTTGAAAGTAATTAATTTAAAGCCGTTTTTCATTGTCTAGATACATCTTCTGTCCCTTTTTATCTCATCGCCAGGTACAATGGGGTGGACAAGGACAGTCTTTATACATTTATACTCTCACTTAACCCTTTACATTAATGTTATTTTGTTTGCAAAAAATAGGACTGCTGAGTTCGTGTAACGTCACGTTATATAGATACGGCACGTTCGTGGTTACTGTCACGTATAAAAAATTCAGTGTTTCTGATATTGTTCCTTATTATCTTTGCAATAAGAGTCACTAATATCAGATTAGCGCAAACATAACACCTATATTAAATTCGGCTAAATGCGATTATTACTCGCTTACGAACGAGTACTCACATACTGTATGTTTTATTTTCATTCATTGCATTTGATTGATTTTGTATTAAAAATGCTTTAGTGTATAAGAGAAAATTCACCGGTTATATGTAGTGTGCCCGAGCTCAATGGCGTAGAGGATAAGCCCGCGATCGTAGTCGTCAAGCAACTTTCGCAAGGGTCGGTCACGGGATGGGTGACCAAAATATTATTATCTCGAGCTACTCCGTGCTTCGGAAGGCACGTTAAGCCGTTGGTCCCGGCTGCATTTGCAGTCGTTAATACCCTCCAATCCGCATTGGGCCAGCGTGGAGGGTCATGGCCTATCCTCCTTAACCATCCATAAGGAAGGCCTGAGCTCCTGCAGTGGGGACGTAAAAGGGCTGATGGTGAGAATGCCCGAGATGTGATTCGAATCCATAACCTTTTGCAATCAAAACAAAAGAGCTTAAATTTACTTAGTTTGGTATCTGAGTTATGTGTAGGTGATTTTCTCCAGTATTTAATTATTACTAGCTGAAAATTACAGCCTATACAACCCGCGTATCAAATGCTCCAATAAGTGACTCTTTTCGATTTTAAAAAGTCCTAGTTCCGCAGCCTATTTAATACAAACAAAAGACATACGTAATTTTTCCAAACTCCCAATACTTATTTTTTCATTTATTTAATGTGTTCTTATACTGGTCAGTTAATTAAGAGTTCTTATCGGAATTACGAAAGAATTAAATTCTTATGCTATCTTTGCTCCCATGGCATGTAAACATTGCTAGCACCGAATTTTATATGGTAAACAATATGGAGTAAGTGACAAGAAATAGCGAGTATCTCTATAATAACTAGTTATTGTAGGTTTTTTATGTTATGCCACGTTAATCCAGGCTTAGAATTCAATTTCATAATTCATTCGGATAAGGTTTTCTAATTTATAACACGAATTTAATTACAATGACAAATTGAATAGTAAACATAGTTGCTGTAGTTTTAATTCCTTATAAAAATTTCATTCCCAAATTCATCCCTTTATTTGCTGTATTTTTCGAGATAATAGCCTATGTTCATCGCATATGATGTTTGTTGTTTGTTGTTGTAAACAAACACACAATTAAATAAACTCTTTAAATTTATTATAACCAATTTGGCAAAAATGATCAATAATCCTACTTCAGAAACAAATTCATAATATCATAAGAAAATCTTGTATTTTACGGGTTCTTTTTTTATTAATGGTTTTTTATTACCCTCGCTATGGTTAAAAAAGGGTTTAGTATTTATAATCATTATCACAGTAAACATCACATTAGACTATACAAATCTGTCATTTTACTGAGAGTAGAGTTTCAAATTGACTGGATAAAGACATATTGTGGTAACCAGACGTGCAGCCGTGTGTACTAGTATATACAATTCGATACAATATCTGGTGATGGACGTAAACTATGTCATAATCATCTAATTATATTATCTGTTATAGGTATTCAATATGGATGGTATGAAGGAACTGGGGAAAGTATTGATTAAAAACTCGTGTACTTTAAGACCCATCGCTTCGCATCTGGTAGCATTATACGTAGTAACTTCAATGAAAATTCATTTCAAATATACACACGTTATGTTATCAATGCCTTTTCTCTCCCCCTGTATAATTAATAAACACTGTACTATTTGATAGTTTAATATCAATAAATTACTGATGTAATGTGTCTCAATTTGAAATGCCCAGGCGGTATAAATAATTGGCAATTGATTCATACGGTGTATCTCGCCATACTCTGCCTCCTTTGTTTGTTGATCTAAATAAAGTTAATTAAAAGTAAAATCTAGGAAACAATCGATTTAATGTTATGTTAATATTTTTTTTACAATCGTTAATATAACAATCAACTGAGATATTATCTTTAAATATTCAGGTCACAAAATCGCTCTTATCTTTTGACTTAAAATTTTAAATTTCACTCTAATCTCCTATCATAATCTTCGCCAGCAATATTATCATACTGCTCGAATCGCAGACGCGTATTTTTATCGGTCCATGTTTATCAGTAATTTAAAGTTTATTGTGGAGTGCTGTCCATGCAGTTATGAAGCTACCATGCGTCGTACCAGGATGTCATTTGATTGTAAGTACCTATCCAGTTGTGGTTCAATCAACGTTATTTGACGTCCCCTTGTGAACTAATTAGTGTCGTTTGTCGTAAAACGTTTTAAGACGATAAGACGACTGGTTGTCATATTTACTAAGATTCTATTTCTGGATGTGAATGAAGCTGACTAGAATTGAAAATAATGGATGTATATTTTTGGAAATGTCGCAAATTTTATTATATAGTTTTTAATGTAATATTAGTGCCAGAAATATTGAAAAGCTATTTATCATGAAATGAGAAGAAATGAATTACATGTAAAAAAGGAATATGTGATTGAATATGAACGATAATATGAAAAAAGATGCTACGTGTAAGAAATTAGTGAATGTTGCGATCTTTAAGTTAATCCGGGTTCGATTTTCAATCGATTTAGTATTGTAGATGATAGAAACCGACTCTTTTGAGGATTTATTGATTTACTTCAGTAATGAACCATAGAAGGATTGGAACGAAGTATGATGCGATAATATATGTATATATTTTTAAAACGACATCACATACATTGATCAGATTTCAAGTTGAGTATCTGAGACTACGAAAGCACACACACTCAGACCTGAGACAGTACAGAGAATACTTTTTTCTACATTGACTCTTGACTGTGATGACTTGATTTGGAATCGAACCTGAGACCCCAGAAATAGAAACACCTTAAAACCGGCTAACAAACCACTTGGCTGCAAGATTATATTGTAGCCGTATATCACCTCTGGCTGCCCATCAAAAGATTTAGCGTGAAGATATAGACATATCCATAATAATATTTCATTAGAAAAACTTATCACTATATAGTATAAAACAAAGTCGTTTTCTCTGTCCCTATATATCCCTATGTATGCTTAAATCTTTAAAACTACGCAACGGATTTTGATGCGGTTTTTTTTTATACATTGAGTGATTCAAAGGAAGGTTATTATGTAAAATACAAGACCACGCTGGCAGAAAGCTAGTGTGCAAAAATACAATATTTCTAGTAAATCTTCGAATTAAGCAACATGAGATGTGGGATATTGTTAAAAAAAGGAGATGAAATTTCGGTCTTTTAGAATATGATTTCAATCTATTGAAAATTAAAATTAACATTCTTTAATCTTAAATTACTTTTGGTTTTGGTAATAATTATTATCATTATGATTATAAATTTCTAATTATTCATAATTATCATGACAATTATAATCATTTAATAAATAATTTACCTGCATTACTAACATAACATAGCTTTCAGAATTACTTATTACAGAGAATCTATAAAATCGTCTCCTTTGTTATGTAATTCGCTATTTAAAAAAGTTTAGATTTTTTTGCTGTTCGAAATAATTTTACCCTAATTTAGGGTATTTGTGTTTATTTATTAATAACGCAGACAACCGTGGACGGTTATATTTCATCCTCCTTAACCATCCATAAGGAGGCCACTGCAGTAGAAACATAAAATGGCTGCTGATACTCAATACTTAATCATTTATTGTCAATATGATCACGGCCGGTGCAACCCGACAGAAACGTCGGCACAGGTCAGTCTAAAATTCGCGTCTAATACCCGATATTATAAGTATTTAATAATGCAGCGCGATAGTTTAAAAGTGAATATGTAACATAGAACAGAAGTACAAACATGTGAAAATATGACCCTGTAGGGCAAGACAATGTGGAACGACAGACAGATATTAAAATAAATCAAATAGATCAGTCAGTTTGTGGTTAGGCAATTAATACAAATATTTAACTTTAAAAATTACAATAGTCACATTAAATAATATATTTTATTAACAATTCAGACACTTATTTCGCTGACTAGTTAACATACAACAAACTTTACTTAAAAGTTAGATATAATGTTGTAGTATTAGTGTCACTATACTAAATAAACTTACATTTTCCAAAACAGTAATGGATGACTAATGTTTAATGCTTTTACGTCTCTTAAATATTACCTAGCTTTTGTCCGTGACTTCATCCACTTGGTACTTTGGGAACAAAGTTCATAAACCCTAAACCAAATATTTATTTATTTAAATATTTTTATATACAAACTTTCATCTCCTATTTCAAACTCATTTTTTGCAATAAAGTAAATCCTATCCTAGTAAAAGTCAGCCATTATAACGTACTAAAGCGAAGCTAAAATAGCAGTTTATCTTCAATGGGAAATGTAATTATATTTAATTTTATGTCTTTCATCAACAACCTACAGAAAAGTATTTATGAAAATATAATATACTCTTAAGTAAGTTGTAAAATACGTTAGTTATAGCTGCCTCTACTGTTGTTAGCGCCTCGCAATTCGTGTTAAGCCCGCGTATTAAGCTATAGCCTGTTTTCCTTGTACTTTTCATCGAGAAGATCTGTCCAACATTGATGATATCTAACATCTAATTAAAATCTTTAAGAAGAGTAATAAATAATAACATTTGCAGTAACCCATGCAATGACAGCCTTCTGAAAAAAAAAAGAATCACAATCAAACATCAGAATCGCTTTGCTTGCTACTGCATAGGGCCCACTGACGTATAGAACAGGAACATGGACATACAGACGCCGAATTATTCATCTAATGACCATAATGCGCGAAAGTTACTTGACCTAACTTAACTCGAACAAAAAACATCAACACGCCTTTCATTCTAAGACAGAAATAAATTGATGTGACACCTGCTTTATGATTGTGTAGTGTAATAATCTTTATTTGCAACAGATTAAATTTCTTTTTCGCGTGTCAATGACGGTGCCGAATTACGTGTACTATCAAATTTCGTGACTATCATTACATTTTTTGCTTATTATTTGTTTTTTTTATTGCGGATTCTTTGTTGAATTGTTGGCCAGCGGTTTTCCTGTCGTATTTACCAAATAGGTTCAAAGTGTTTTTATTCAGTTTGTTACGCCGCGTAAGCGCGTACGCACGCATTGTAATATTTGATTGGATGCGTTTGTCTATTGATCTAATCGTGATTACCAAAATGCCGTATTTAATAAGAGTGAGTGACCTTATTTAAATGAAATTGAAAGTTTGAATATGCGCTGGTCGAATTTATGAAGAAAGTGGCAAAGAGTATTATGAGTTGTAGTTTTGCAATTGTTTTTTTATTCTTCTAAAGAAGAATCTATGTCTAATTATCGTCCATGTATGTGTTATGTCTGCGATTAATTAAAAAACCACCGATCGGGATTGGTTGGTTTTTAATTTTTTGTAGATAGACATAGAAAGGGTTCATTGGCATCACTTTTTTGTCAGTTGAAAAATGGGTGGATTCTCTGAATTAGATCCTTTAAAATTATGGAGTTTGGATTAATAGTTTTATGTAAATTTATAGGTTTATCGTCTTCTAGGTCCGTATATATTCATATATGTAGTGTGTCATATTGTATATATATATATTCCCATATTTAATTACATTTATATTTTAATTTGTAACCATGAATTATCCCTTCACGTTATTCACGAAGGTAAGTTAATTATCTTATACTTAAATAAGCACCTACGCTCACTATATTGAATCTCCATATCTCCCAAAGGTTGACTGGGAGAGAACGTCCAAGGCATAAAGTCGGCCTCTGTACATTAAGTATTAAATAAATAAATGAGTTGCCTTCTCAGTCATCACTAAAACAATAAAATTAAGTAAGAGTCCATCATTTTCCTTTAATTTTAAATTAAGAAAGTTGCCTACTGTAACTAAACTGCTTCTGTTGACTCAGAGTTATTCCTGCATATAAATTTTGGTAAATTCTCCTCAAAATCTGTTGCTTCAGTATTCCCGTACTATTCATATATCAAAATTTTAATATTCCACCAATGCACCATGGAGACCATCATTGAAAAATTCTTTAGCATTATGGATTTAAATTTTGTTCAATTAACACGACACTATTAACTAACGGTGTAAACTATGACTTGACTTTTAACAGTTAGTTAATTACAAATATAAATGAATGATTTACCTTTTGGGAATCTTTGTATACCTAATGTACTGGCAGTTTTCCCGCAATTGTGATTGTATATATTATAGCCTATGTCACCTGCATAGGATGTACATGTACCTTCCTGTAAGTGAAAGTGAAAGAAAGAAATAAAATCTGTCCAGTAATTGCGGAGCCTTTTTTAATAACGCAGAGAAAATGCAACTGAAGCCTTACACCAGTACTCTCTAACTCCGCACTCGTCCTCAAAAAGACAGATTTAAGCGAGTCCCGCCTGTCTGGTTAGGCCCGCCGCGAATATCCTCCGGGAAGGAAGGACCTGGGATCCCGCGTAGAGCCCGCCAACTTTCGGAGCCTATTCAATGCAAACAAAATGGCCATGATCCACCGTGCGGGTCCAGTGTGGATTTGTGGGTTTTAAAATAGATGCATCTGGGACCACGGTTAAACGTGTCTTTCAAAGCACGGTCGAGATAATAAAATTTTCGTCACCCATCCTATGACCGTCCATTACGAATGTGGCTTAATATCCGCATCGCAGACCGAACGCACCAATCACTACGCCATAGATTTATTTATTTATTAGCCACTTATTATACAATATTGTAATACAACGTATGTCAGTTCACAATTCATTGTACGAGTATTTATTTATTTATACATATCCTCAATTAAATCTAAATGTCTAAAAAAAATCTTATTTCATCATTTCATAAAAGTTGATTCGCTTATACGTATCGTCAGAAATTCATTTAAAGATTAGAAAGGATTTTGCTCAAAAAAAAGATTTTAGTATACTTTTAAAGCTAATGTGGTTTCTGTTTGTAATACTTAAAGGAAATTTGATATACATTATTATTATTATTAAATAAATTGTTTTTTAGTCTGACTTTTGGATGACGAAACTTTTCATTATTACGTAGATACCCTTTCTTGAAAATTTTCTTTTTTTTTTACATGGATTACCAACAAGCAAGCAACGAGCTATACACATATATATAGCTCGTTGCTTGCTTGTTGGTAATCCATGTAAAAAAAAAAGAAAATTTTCA